GCGGCGACGCGCCAGAGGATTTTGGACTGACCGGTGCTGGCCGGGGGCGGCCGCGCTGGCAGAGCGTTCGACGCTGGTGCGGGGCATGGGGCCTCCCCCCAGACCCCCGACGTCGTGATTTTTTCACAACGTCGACCCCCAGAGGTCTGGACCCCTTCCCCGGGACCGGTTCTTCGTCCCGAGTCGTTTTTTGACGCTCCCGAGGCCCGGTGAGGGCCCCCGGAGGCCGAAAATAGCGAAAAACCTCCCGTCGTGATTTTTTCACGACGCCAGGAGGTCTGGGTCTTGGAGGCCCGCCCAGCGTCTCAGAGGCCCGCTCTGGAGGCCTCCAGGCCCTTCGAAGCAGGGCCCCTGCCTTCCAGGGAGGCCCCCGCTTGGTCAGAGGGCTGCCCCCCTCGGCGGCACTCCTCTCTGCGCGCCGCCGCGCCGTGCTCGTCGCCGCCGTCGGTCGTCGGCGTGCTCGTGGTCGTCCTCGACCTCGCCGCCGCCGCCGACCTCGTCGCTGTCCAGGTCGTGCTCGTCGCCGTCACAGTCGTCGTCGCGGTCGTGGTCGTCCTCGTTTACGTGGTGGCCGTGGTCGTAGCAGTGGCCGTGGTGGTCGTCGTCGTCGTCGTGGTCCTGTCGTTCTCGCCGTCGGTGTCGTCGTGGTGGTGACCGTTTTCGTGGTCGTCGTCGTCGTCGTCGCGATCATGATCATGGTCTTCTTCGTTCTCGCGGTCGTCGTGGTCGTGGTCGTGACCGTGGTCGTCGTCCAGGTGGTGGCCGTGGTCGTCGTCGTCGTGGTTGCCGTGATCGCCGCGGTGGTGGTGGCTGGAGTTTGGACAGCAGTCGGACGAGGAGAGAGAGAGAGGAGAGGGAGGCACGGGAGGAGGAGGAGGGCAGGACGAGGGTGGATGGGCACGGACGGGCGGGAGGGAGGGCGGGGTGGGCGTGGGGCTGTGCCGGAGGCCCCCTGCCTTCCCTTCCCTCCCTCCCTGCCTCCCTCGGCCGAGGCGTGGCGGCCCGGGCCAGGGAGAGCTGCCCTCCTCCGGGGGGGGGGGGGGGGGGCGCCAGGGCGCGGAGGGGGCCGCGAGTGGCGCCCCGCGGGGCGCGCGGGGGGCGCAACAGGAGGTGGCGTGGAGGCCTGGACTGTTCTCGGCGTTTCGGGTGCGCTCGGCATCGCTCGGACGTGTGCATTGTTCCTCGGCGAGGGCCGTCGAGCAGCATCCTCGACCATCGAGCCAAAAAAGCACGCAGTACACCGCAAAAATGCACGGGGAATGGACGTCCGAGCGATGGCAAGTGCGGCGGGATCCTGGGCAGGGAGGTGTGTCCGACTTCTTGCGGGCCATGTCCCTATCCCTGTGCTGGGCTGCAGATGTCATCTGTCGTGTGCCCTCTCCCGCCGATCACCGACGCAACTCCCCCCCCCGCCCCCTTTTGTGATGCCGAGCGCATCGTCAGCATTACCCCAGAAGCCCCACCTAGCTGTGTTCTCATGTCTTTCGCGCGCTGGCTCACAGTTGTTTCTCACACGCGTGCTACGCGGTTAATAAGAAGGCATCTACTGAAGGCATATGATTACTCCTGGTTGTAAGACCGCGCCGGCTGTTATTCATATTGTACGTTGTTTCTGTGCGATGGACGTACGCATGCGATTATCCCACTTCCCCCCTCCTCATGTTCTAGTATGTTCCTCTCTTGTCCTGTCTTGCCTTGTCTGTCTTGCCTTGTCTTGTCTTGTTTTGTCTGTCTGTCTGTCTGTCTGTCTGTCTGCCTGCCTGCCTGCCTGCCTGACTGTCTGTCTGCCTGTCTGTCTGTCTGTCTGTCTGTCTGTCTGTCTGTCTCTCTCTCTCTCTCTCGTCCACCCCCTTCTCCCTCCTACTCATCATCATCAGCATCATCATCATCATCATCATCATCATCATCATCATCATCATCATCATCATCACCATCACCATCACCATCACCATCACCATCACCATCACAATCATCAGCATCATCATCATCAGCAGCATCATCATCATCCGTCATATTCCTCCCTCCTCTTCCCTCCTCTTCCCTCCTCCTCCCTCCTCATCCTTATCATCACCATTCCCTCTTCCCTCTCCTTCATCCTCCCATTTCCCTCCCTCCCTCCCTCTGAGTCCTCCCGTCTCGCCCCTCACTCTTCCCTCCCCCCCTCCAACCCCTTCTCCGCCACCCCCTCCGAATTATCTCGGTCCCCCCCTCTCCTCCCTATTCTGCCTGCTCCCTCCCTTCCACCTCCTCTCCTCACTCCTCCCTGCTCACTTTTCCTTCCCCCCTGCGTCCTCCCATTTCTTCCTTCTCACTCTCCCCCGCTCCCTGCCGCCTCAGATGCGCTGGCGAGCGCGGAGCTGGCAGAGGCGACTCGGGGGGGGAGAGGGGAAAGTGCCGACGTCAAGCGTGGCCCAGGCGCTCAGTGAACAGGGATTGTAAGCAGGGGGGGCGCTTCGAGCAGGACAGATGGTCACGAAGAGGTCGGAGGATGATGTGGAGAAATGGGCAGCAGGAGGAGGAGGAGGAGGAGGAGGAGGAGGAGGAGGAGAAGGAGGAGGAGGAGGAGGAGGAGAGAGGAGGAGGAGGAGGGGGGGGAGGAGGGAGGGCGGGAGGGAGGGAGGACGGGAGGAGGGAGGAGGGAGGAGGGAGGGAGGGAGGGAGGGAGGAGGCGGAGGAGGAGGAGGAGGACGGAGGAGGAGGAGGAGGCGGAGGAGGAGGAGGAGGCGGAGGCGGAGGCGGCGGCGGCGGCGGCGGAGGCGGAGGCGGAGGCGGAGGCGGAGGCGGAGGCGGAGGAGGAGGAGGAGGAGGAGGAGGAGGAGGAGGAGGAGGAGGAGGAGGAGGAGGGGAACGTGGAGGTGGGGTGGGTCCAGGGGAGGTGGAAGAGGAGGAGAAGGCGGAGGAAGAGGAGGAGGAGGAGCAGGAGCAGGAGGAGGTGGAGGTGGAGGAGGAGGAGGATGGATGAGGAGGATGGAATCGGAGTGGGTGTGAGGGGAGGAGTTGGATGGACGAGGGGGTGGATGAGGGGGAGGGAGCGGGATAATGTGGTGCAGTTGGGGTGATCCATCTGCCCGGGCCTGCCGCGGCCCGCTGAGGGGGCCTCCGAGGCATGGAAGGAGAGGCGGGTGAGGAAGATAAGGAGCAGGAGGGGGCCAGGGCGGCAGGGGGAAGCGGCGGAGGGAGGCGGAGGGAGGGACGAGTGGGCCCGAGAATCGCGCGCAGGGGTGAGAGGATCCGTGGCGCAGGGCGTCGTCGAGCCATCGAGGCGCCCGTGGCGAGTCGGGTAGGACCTCCTGCCTTCCCTGCCTCTCTTCTCCTCCTTCTCCTTGGCCTCCTCGCCTTCCCCCTGCTCGTGTTAGGGCTAAGGCAAGGGCGACTGCTTGTGCCACTCCTGCTTCTGGCCGCGGTGTCCGGCGGTCCGGACTGCAGCTCTGTGGTGTCGTCGTCGTGCTTCCTCCCTCGGGGCACGTGTCCCCCCCACGAGACGGGCTCGCCTCTCTCTGAGTGCTAGGTTGTGGGTCATCCTTGTCCACCTCCTTGTCCCCGAGTGGCCGCGCGTGACCCCTGGCCGCATGAGTTCTAGGTTCTGGGTCCTCCTTGTCCACCCTCTTGTCCCCGAGTGGCTGCGCGTGACCCCTGGCCGCATCCCCGGACTTTGGCCACAGGCACAGGCGCGCTTTCGCCAAGCAGCGCCCGTGCCCGAGAGAGGGGCGCGCGAGCCCTCGGACTCGTGCGATGGTCTGGTGTTGCGTCGGTCTGGTTCGGGGGCCACGGGGCGCGCCGGCCAGTCGGTCCGCGTCGACAGCCCTCTCTTCTCTCCACCCCTCAGGGCCCCTCCTCCTCCTCCTCCTCCTCCTCCTCCTCCTCTCCTCCTCCTCCCTCCTCCTCCTCCTCCTCCTCCTCCTCCTCCGATGCCTCCGATGTCGCAGTCCGGTGGCCCCGACCCGCTTGGATTTCGACGTGCCGACGAGCCGACGCGGCCCGACGGGCTCGCAGGGCGCGGCGATTCCTCCGAGGCGCGGCCGAGCCCACGCGGAGCTGCGGCGCCGCAGCGGTGCGGCCCGACCCGTAGCCGGCGTGCACGTCGGTTCGACCCGGTGTCCCGATGCGGTGCGGATGCGTCCTGGCGCACGGGAGCCGTCTGCGACCGCCTGGTCCACTTGGCGGTGGGGCATGGGTATCGGGCACCCCTGCAGCCTGGCATCGCTCGGACGTGTGTATGTTTCTTTCGGCGAGGACCATCGAGGAGCATCCTGGATCATTTCGAGAGAAAGCCCGCGCACGAGACCGAAAAAAAACACAGGGAATGGACGTCCGAGCGATGGCCAGGGAGCTGTTTGCGACCGCCTGGTCCAATCGGCGGTGGGGCATCGGTATCGGGCACCCCTGCAGAGCTTCTCGTTTGGATGCAGGTATCCTTTTTGGAATTCTGAGCCACAACTTATTATCATATCATCTCTCCCGAATTCTGACCCGCAGGGGTAGGCTTATCCCAGGCTGGAGCAGGTAGGAGGGCGGACTCGGGTTGACCAGCGTGGCAAATACCCGATCCCTAGGACTGGCACCTCTGTATCGCGAAGCCGATCCTGAGGATCCCCTCAATTTCTGAAGGCTCATCCCTAATCTTGACACCGCCTTGGGTTGGTCGATCTTAGTGATCGGACTGCGGTCGGAAACGTTTGGATCAGGGCTGGACCTAAACGGTGTTTTGGCGAGTTCGTGGGCCGTTTTCGCTTCGACCTCGTTTTGCGGTAGGGGTGGACGGAAGACGAAACGAGGGAGAACGAAAACAAAACGAAAACGAAAAACACCGTTTGGGTTCAGCCCTGCCCTGACTCCAGATCCGCCCTACTTTCTGGCTTGTTTCCAACTTAAGATTGCGTCGGAGGTCCACCTATGAGAAGCCGGACAAGTAGGGCGGAATTTTTTGCACTCAGCAGAAAGTATGGCGGAAATCCACAGAAATAGGGCGGAAACAACAACAGAAAAGTAGGCGGAAATGGGCATCAGCGGGGCTTGGAAAGTAAGGCGGAAATTCCAGGCCCTATGTACGAATTTCCAAGAAATAGGTCGGATCCGGAGTCAGGGCCGACCGTAGTTCGGGCTGTGGAGGAGGACCAATGGAGAGGAAGCATGTTGCCAAATACTCTTCCCAGATGTCTCAAACACGTGTGAAACATGTTGCGAGGATGTTAAACAACGACGTGCCTAACACATGTTTAGAGCCTGTGCCCGACGTGCTGAACACATCCTCAGTTCCATGCCAGGCCTGCTAGGGTGTCCGCTGCCGTGGCATCCGCAAGAGCAGGGACAGGGAGGGCGAGGGGGGCGAGGCAGGGCTGAGCCCGAGGGCCAGGCAGAGGTGGCGAGGGAGGGCGAGGTGGCGAGGGAGGCCAGGGCGAAGGGAGGGCGAGGGAGGGCGAGGGAGGGCGAGGGAGGGCGAGGGAGGGCGAGGGTGGCGAGGGAGGGCGAAGGCGATGGGCGAGGGTGGCGAGGGAGGGCGAGGGCGGGCGAGCAGGGCGTTTTAAGGGGAGGGCGAGGGAGGGCGAGGGAGGGGCGAGGGAGGGCGAGCAGGGCGGAGGGAGGGCCGAGGAGAGCGAAGGGCGGCCGAGGTCCCGCGCGGAGGGCGGCGAGGGCTAGCGGGCGGGCTCGCACGGGGGCCGCCGGGGCCGGGCAGCCCCTCCCCGGGGCTCCGCGCCCCGGACCGCGCGGCGCGCCCCCCCACACCCCAGCTTGCGCGCCGCCGCCGCCCCCGCCCCGCCCGGTCCGCGCGACCCCTCCGCCCACGGGGGGCGCGGCGCGCTCATTCGCCCGGACCCAGTTTGTGCACTGTTTTTTCTCGGCGCGAGAGCATTAGAGGAGAGTCCTCGACCCTTCGGCGAAAAAGGGGAAAAAAAAAAAAAAAAAAAAAAAACACGGCAACACGACCCCCCCCCCCCCAAAAAAAAAAAAAGCACACAGGAAATGGACGTCCGAGCGATGGCCAGGGGGTGGCGCAGGGCCCCGCGCGCCGCGCGCACCGCGGGCCTGTCCTCGGGGCTGGACCTCAACGTTTGCATTGTTTTCTCGGCGAGGAGCTTCGAGGAGCCGGGTGGGCGCGACCACTGCGTGCTTCCACTTGGCAACCCAGGCCTTGCGCTCCGCCCTGTCGGCGCGGTCTGCAGAGACCATGGGGCAGAGTTGCGCGAACGGCTGGTTGTGCACTGCTCCTCCTCCTCATCTCCCCACTCCTTCTTCTCCTCCTCTCCTCCTCCTCCTTCCTCCTCCTCCCATCAAAGGACCTTGAGGAGGCCTCCGCGAGGTACTTGCTTTGCGGAGACAGGCCGGCCCGTTTCCTCTTTCTTCCCGTTCATCCTCTCGCACCTTCGGCGAAAAAAGAAAAAAAACCAGCACCAACGACCACCCCCCCCCCCCCCCAAAAAAAAAAGCACACAGGAAATGGACGTCCGAGCGATGGCCAGGGGGTGGCGCAGGGCCCCGCGCGCCGCGCATGCGCGCGCGCGCGCGCTCGCGCGCACCGCGGGCCTGTCCTCGGGGCTGGACCTCAAACGGCGCCGTGGCGATGTCGCGGGCCGTGTTCGGTCCGATCTCGCTTTTTCTTTTGCGCGGAACCCAGACCCCCGACGTCGTGATTTTTTCACAACGTCGACCCCAGAGGTCTGGACCCTTTCGCCGGGACCGGTTTTGCACCCTGAGTCGTTTTTTGACGGCCCCGAGGCCCGGGGAGGGCCCCCGGAGGCAGAAAATAACGAAAAACGGCCGAAAATAGCGAAAAGAGGAGGAGGAGGAGGGGAAGGAGGAGGAGGAGGAGGAGGAGAGGGAGGAGGAGGAGGAGGATGGAGGAGGAGGGGCGGAGGAGGGGGAGGGAAGGCGCCAGGAGGGAACAACGCCGGCAGGAGAGCGTACGGCGAGAGCGAAGAGGCCGCTATGGCCGCGGCCCCATCCCCGTTCCTACGCGCGGGCCCAAGGGGCACTCCCAGGGTGGGCTCCGAGCGGCTGGGCTCCGAGGGTCGCGCCGCAGCGCCGACGCCTCGGCGATGCGGCGCGGTGTGGCGCCCGATGCCTCCACGCGGGCGGCGCCGCCGGCATCGGCGATGCGGCACGATGCTCCGGCCCCAACTGCTCGGACCCCACCCCAGACCTCCTCGCGTGGTGAAAAAAGCACGACGGGAGGTTTTTCGCTATTTTCGGCCTCCGGGGGCCCTTACCGGGCCTCGGGACCGTCAAAAAACGACTCAGGACGAAGAACCGGTCCCGGGGAAAGGGTCCAGACCTCTGGGGGTCGACGTTGTGAAAAAATCACGACGTCGGGGGTCTGGGACCTGGGATGCCTCCGCATGGCTCCGGGTCTGATCGGTGCGTTTCGTGGGCAGCGTCGTGCGCAGGGCAGCGCGGCTCCCCGGAGGGATATGCCGCAGGCGCCCACATCGCCGTGCTCTCCGCGAGCACCCGTCGGCAGGAGGGTCGCCGAGGAGCGCTCCGCGAGCGGCAGCAGCACCATCGCCGATGGGTCCTCGCCCGCTCAGGCCGTGCGGCAGCGTGAGCGTCACCGTCGAGCTCTCCACGAGCGGGCCCATTAGCAGCACGATCGTCACCTCCAAGCGCTCGGCCAGCAGGCGTGTCAACAGCAGCAGCATCTATTGTGGCCACCGGGCTCCTCACGAGCAGGCCGTTAGGCAGCGAGGCCGTCGCCACCAGGCTCTTCACGAGCAGGCCGCTCAGCAGCACGAGCTTCCCCATTGAGCTCTCTCCGCGAGCAGGCCTATCAGCAGCAAGATCGTCGCAATCGATTACGAGCTAGCCGTTGATCAGCGTCCCCGTCGCCATGAGTCTCTTCATGAGAGGGTCGCACATCCTCACGATCGTCGCCAGAGGATTCGTCATGAGCGTGCGGTAGGTCGTCGCCAGGAAGCTTCAGAATGACCCTCATGCACTTCATGCTCTTCACGGGCAGGCCGCTCAGGAGTCCAGTCGGCGCCAGAGAGCTCTTCGCGAACAGGCTCTCCGCGACCACGGCCAGATGGTCAGGCAGGGCATCGACGTCGGCCCCCCGGGCGGTCCTCCTCCTCATCCTCCCCCTCCTCCCCCTCCTCCCCCTCCTCCTCCCCTCCTCCTCCCCTCCCCCCTCCTCCTCTCTCCTCCTCCTCCTCCTCCCTCCCCCCTCCTCCATCCTCCTCCTCCTCCTCCCCCTCCCCCCCTCCTCCCCTCCCTCCTCCCCCTCCTCCCCCTCCTCCTCCTCCCCCTCCTCCAGACTGCGGGGGGAACAGGCGGCTCCTGCACGCCCCCT